GAATTGAGAAGGAACTTCTTCATCCAGAGGGTTGTTAATCTGTGGAATTCCTTGCCCAGTGAAATAGTTGACGCTACCTCAGTAAACGTTTTTAAAGATAAGGTAGATATTTTTTTGAACAATAAAGGAGTTGAGGGATACGGTGAGAACACGGGTAAGCGGATCTGAGTCCACGAAAAGATCAGCCATGATCTTATTGAATGGCGGAGCAGGCTCGAAGGGCCAGATGGCCTACTCCTGCTCCTAGTTCTTATGTTATGTTTTACAATCTCTCCCTGGTTTTTACTCAATAGCTTTAGTCTTTTTAATAGTTAACCTGGGAAATTTGCAAATTATTGAAAATGAATGTTGGAAAGAGGTAGTGGGAGTAGCAGAGAGGTCAAGTTCGATGTTGGGAAACTTCCCCATGTCTTCACATGAAGTTGCCAAGGGGAAATAGATGATGAATATAAGGAGCACGTAGGATAGATCTCTGGGGGACTCAAGAAGTAACCGTGCTTGGAGACAAACGGGTCTTTTTGGAAAGGTTCTGAGGGTAGCATCAGTAATGCATGTATTTCTATATTAAAAGATATCATATCATATCTTTGCACAATTCGGCAATGTAACCAGTGGAAAATTTTCACTGAGCTAAAGAAGGCATAGAGGTGATTGATGAATAGTTGGAAGACTAACTGTCAATACAGTACACGTCTTTGGATGATGTTGCTGTAATTCAGCGGTAATGAGGCAGTGTCTCCAGAGGTAATGGTATGACGGACATTTGCCTTCAGTAAGAGTTGAACCAGGGCGCTGAAGGAGAGGATTTGGAAAAGAATCATGACCATCTCAAAGGGTGCAGAGGGGCTGAGAAGGAAGTGTGCCTTTGAAAAGAATGTAATTTTTGACTTTGATTAGGGAAGTTTCAATGATTCAGGTGGTTCAAAAACATTGCTTGGAGAAATTCAGGCAAAAGCTTGGGGGAATGCTGGGCTTGGATTTGGGAGGTACCAGCACATTTGAAGGCTTTGGAGGGGTATAGCAATTGTAGGTAGTTGTTTGTAAGGGTAAATGTTATGCTTGAAAGATTGGAGAGGGAAATGATGGTGATGATAGGGTAGGCAGGAGAATACTTGAAGAGAAGGCGCGATTTACATGGTCCCTGAGCATTGATGACAGGAAGGAAAGACGGATGTAGCAATTTAGTAGAATTGGTGCCATAGCATAGAAGATGTCTTATGCCCTACTATGGATGTTACCAAGGAGCAATATGTAGATGAGAAAGTGGAGTTGCCCAAGTACAGTCTATTATCTTAAAGACTTGGGTCATTCATGTGAAAAGGACCATGCGTCTTCACAGAAATGCGGGAGGAGTGGGCAGTACATATTAGTATCTCAAGACAAAAAAAACAGGCAGAAGTGCAATAAGTCCTTCTGAAGTACATTAGATCTTGAGCATAACTTCAGAATTATGGTCACCCGACAATACACTGAACAACAGATACTGTCAAAAATGCCGATAAGCATTCCATTTACAACCAACATTACAAATAGATGATATGGACCCATCTGCATTTGTGGTCTGCAACAAAACCAAACTAGTATGAATTTTGAAAGAACTTATTCAGCAAGTTAAACAGTCTCCATAGAACATTTCAAGCTAATGGCTTTCTATGAGAGCTCAACATTCAGCACTTTACAGGTTTTAAGCATGTACATAGGCAGGGATGTGGATGTTGCTGGCTGGCCAACATTTATTTCCCTACTTGAGATTGAGAAGGTCGTGAGCTGCCTTCTTGAACTGCTGCGGTCCACGGGCTGTAGGTAGACCCTCCGTTAGGGAGGGAATTCTGGAATTTTGACCCAGGTCAATGATGAAATGGCGATATATTTGCATGTCAGGATGGTGAGTGGCTTGGAGGGGAACTTGCATGTGCGAGAGTTCCCATGTATCTGCTGCCCTTGACCACCTAGCTGGAAGTGGTGCTGCATTTGGAAGGTGCTGACTAGGGATTTTTGGTGAATTTCTGCAGTGCATCTTGCAGATATCAGCAGTGTGTACTGCTCAGCATCAGTGGTGAATGGAGTGAATAAAGTGCCAATCAAGCAGGCAGCTTTGTCCTGGATGGTGTCAAGCTTCGAGTGTTGTTGGAGCTGCACTCATCCAGGCAAGTGGGGAATTCCATCACACTCCTGACTTGCGCCTTGTTGATGGTGGACAGGCCTTGGAGGAATCAGAAGGTAAGTTATTCGCTGGAGTATTTCTAGCCTCTGATCTGCTGTTGTAGCCACTGTGTTTACATGACGAATCCTGTTGAGTTTCTAGTCAATAGTATTCCCTGGAATGTTGATAGTGGGGGAGGGAAAAGAGGATTAAGAGGAGAAATGCTCTACAAACTTAAAGCTTTAGATGAGGTTTCTGAAATAAGATAAAATTAAAGATATTTGTCAACAGATTAAATGCCTCTGGTGTGACTGATTAGTTTGTGGCCCATTATTATTTGGGATGTAGCTGAACCTTCTTGACACACAAGCTTTGCCAATAGATTTCTCTGGCCTAACAGCCAACACTGCTGTTTTTAGTTGTAACAAAGCAATAGCCTTTGTGCTTAAATTTGGTAGAATAATCAACAACTAGGTCTTGCTATTTAATTTGTAATTTAAAACAGTTTTAAATCAGTTGGCAGTTAATTATCATAATTTGTGATGAAGAACATTTTATTATGTTGTGCTGAGGTCTAATTTGATTGTAGATTTAAAAGAAATTTGTTTTAGTTTTACTATTGCCTTCATGTTTGTTCAAGTCATTGTTGAAGAATAAGAAACCTTCAAGTGATTTATATCCATGGATTAAATGTCAGGGTTAAAATAACTGTGCCAACCATTTTGAAATCCCTTTTTATGGCAAGACTGAGGAGGTTTATTCATTGGTCAGCTGTAGATTGAATCTGTCTTGTTTACAAGAGTGCTTTGTTATCATTAATCTGCAAAGAACTGCTACCCTTGTGTGTAGTCATGATGCATTAAAAAAATAGAAAAATGTGTGGGGGCAGCCAAAGTAAGCTGTTGCATCATTCAGGAAGCAAGATTGAAGCTCCTATGTAACATGCCTTTGTTTTTAATTATGAAATCAAACATTTTCCAGAGAAAGCATTTTACTCCAAAGTTCAATGGCATGTTGTTGTAAAATTCTAATATCTAGCTGCACTCTTTTTGTTGAGACAGAGATGTTACATTTCCTGGTAATAAGTGTTACTAATCATCTCGTGTTTAAAATTTCAATCCCTGGTGATAAGAAAAATTGTAATTAATATTAAAACATGTTTACCGTCTGCATGAATCATACTTATAATAAAACATGCTTCAGATCTCCGTAAATTCACATGACCTTTAGCATTTGATCGTAATACACCTGTCCTCCTCCTAATTTGCAGGACTCCAGAAATTAACTTTGGAATTTTGTATGCCAAATTAAAAATTAAATAAGGTTTTGATGTTTCATAGCAATATTCAGGGTATATAATTTGTATTCAACAAAATGCAATCATGACGCATACAATGCTTTGTCAGTTTTCCACCATGCATAACATTATAGTCCTTATCATATATAATTGCCTTTTTATTAAAGTAAGTTTGTTGTTGTTATCGCATCATTGAATTCCCATAGTGTGGAAGAAGGCCATTCGGCCCATTGAGTCCATACAGACCTTCCAAAGAGCATCCTACCCAGACTCCCAACCCCCCCGACCCTATCCCTGTAATCCTGCATTTCCCATTTCCCATAGCACCAACCAGCAAGTGCTGTTTAGTTTGACATGATTCTTTGTGCCTGTCAGTTTGCTAAAATACTGATGTTTTAGCATTAATTTAAGAATCCAAATAACCTGCGAAATGATTTCCCTGAATGAAAGCTACTGTTTAATTAATATAGTTGAAGAACAGAACATGTTCAAGTTCCGCTTGTTATATTTCTGTGAAGTGTGCAAAGATGTATTTCTACACTACAAGTTATGTATTACTGTTACCACCCACAGGATCTTTTCCAAAAATACTGTCTGTTTCTCCCTAGCCACCATTACTCTTGAGTCTCCTAAAGATCAATCCTGTGTGCTCCTTATATTCAGCATCTGTTTTCCCCATGGTAACTTCATATGGAGATGTGGGGCAAGTTTCCATGCTATTTCCACTTTTTGTAGTTTAGCAAACAATTTAAATTCATCTAGCTGCCCTGGTTTGTGGCTTGTGCAGCCTTTGGGTTTTCGTTAGTTTTTTTGGGTGGATAGACATCTTTGTAAGGTACTTTACTAAAACACTTAAATTATTGCGATGCAGCCCAATTTTAATTGCTTCAGCTGATTTCTGTTGCAATTTAGATGCATTTCTGTGATTTCATTTGAATGTCGAGTAGATTATTTGTACTCATTGCCGTGATATAATTGGAGATTGAACCAATCACTGGTTAAAAAGTATTTACATTTTTGTTACTATAGTCATTCATACCCTTTGGGAGCATTTCTTCACATTAAATGCATATTGACATGAAAATTGCTGAAGTATGTCCTGTGCCTAAAAAGCAGGACAAATCCAATCCAACCCAACCAGTTTCCATCTCCAGTCTACTCTCAATCATCAGCTTTTGCTCAGCAAAAACTGCTCACTGATTTGAGTTTGAGTTCTACCCATACCTCTGCATTGTTGATCCTATTACAGCCTTGGTCCAAACGTGGAACCAGAGCTGAATTCCACAGGTGAGATGAATGGCTGTCCTTGAATCAAGCACCACCACCATTCCCCACCCCCACCCCAGTGTCTGGGTGGGTTTCCTCTGGTTGCTCCAGTTACCTTCTACAGTCTAAAGATGTGCAGGTTAGGTGGATTGGCCATGCTAAATTGCTCATAGTATCCAGGGATATGCAGGTTAGGTAGATTAGTCATGGGGATTGCAGGGTTACAGGGACAGGATAAGGGGATGGGGTCTGGGTGGGTCCTCTTTGGAGGGTTGTTGAGGACTTGATGGGCCAAATGGTTTGCTTCCACACTGTAGGGATTCTATGATTCTATGAAATATGACAATTGCCTCTTGATTTTTCAATTGCTTTTCCATCTATGAATTCGGTACTCGCACCATTTTTGTGGCAGCGGGGTCACCACAAACCAGAAAGGGAACTGAACTAGCCATATAAAATGCCACTAGATTTTAAAGTAAATCTACTACTATAGGCTAAAACATCTACAGTTAGTAACTTTCCTCTGCACACCATCCAGAAAAAAAACAACCTGCTTGATTGGCACCCCTTCCACCAATTTCAGCATTCAATCCCTTCAATACCGTGTCCAATGCAATAATGTGTACTATGTACAAGATACACTACAATAATTCACCAAGGCCCCTTTGACAAGAACCTTACAACCATATCTTTTATCATCCAGAAGGACCCTGCACCTGCAAGTTCCCTGACAAATGTCTGTGTCTTGACTTGGAAATATCACTGTTCCTTCTGTGGTGCTGGATCAAAATCTTGGAGCTCCCTTTTTTAATAGCACTATGTACTCCACCTCCTCCCACTCCCCAACCCCAAGTCTCCCCACATACACTAGTTCAAGAGGATAGCTCGTGACCATCTCAGTGGCAATTAAAGATGGGCAATATGTACTGGCTGAGCTAGTGACAGTCATATCTGTGAACAATTTTTTTCTTAAACTCAGCGTCAACTAATTTGACTATTTATTTATGTATTGCAGACACAACTATCTAGAAACCTGTAATGGGTATAAGGTTTTTTCACTTTAATGCAACTTGCGTAAAATTGTGTCGATTGAAAGAAACATGAGACTGAACGAGGTCACAGGATAAATAAAAATGATAAAAATTGAAATTAAAAGTCAGTTTTTGTATTTGCAACAATTATAGCTGTCAAACTTGTACTATTGGTGCATACTCGGATTTGAGTGCTGGGGAATCATGGGCAATTTTGTGGTTGGCTCTTATTGGATGGACAAACCTAAAAGGTGAAGATTTTTGAGTGTTGTAGTTACTGTGAATCTATTATACCACATAATTCAGTTGTATCAATGCATAAATGCAGAAGAAACTAGACATCATTAATGTTCTGCATTGTATAGTGCTTTGTAAGCAGCACATGTTCTTAGCATGACCAAGTGCCATCAGGGTGATTTTGACTGCTTCTGAAAAATGATCCTGCTTTGGCATTTTTGCAAACTATATTCAAATTCCTGCTAATTTCTGAACTCTCTTGTGATAAATCATACTTTGAGAAATATCCCTGAAGATTGTCTGTGCTTTTCCTTCCTTTTTTAGGTGGTTATTCAGCAGACCATGCAGTCATTAAAATATTCTGGATTGTAGTGCAGAGTTTCACGAATGACGAAAAGCGCAAGCTGCTGAAATTTGTCACCAGTTGCTCTCGACCACCTCTGCTGGGATTTAAGGTACAGAATTAAGAACTTTTAGGAATATCTTGCATGTCCTGATTTCTGAACACTTCGATGGGATTCAAATTCTGTATTTTTAAATGTTTATAGCAGCGTGATGCGTGATTTAAAAACCTGACTTTCTCTGAACAAGTCCATGAATAACTTGACTTAAAGTGCAACTTTGATAAGGATTTGATTTCCTGCTACACTGTTTTCAGCAGCAAAAAATAATTGTTACAACAATGTGCCATACAAGACTAGAAAAACATTAATTCAATTATATAATTTGTAGAATGATTATGTAATCTCAATGTTCCTTGGCTTCTATTGCCTTTTAACAGAGGTGTGGACATTGAAACTGGGAGCATCTTTTCTTTTGTATTTTGAGAGTTGTGCATGAGACTGGCAAGGCACTGCCAGCATTTGTTACCCTTGAACTGATTGGCTGTTTTAGGCCATTTCATATCCCTAGAATATTAGGGTGGGTTTCTGGATTGCACATCCAATGACATTACCTAAGGCCATAGAGATGCCGAGTGGCGGTACAAAACTAAGCTTGAGACCAGACCAGCCACACGGAGACTCGTTGTTTGTGGCAAGGCTTACATGACATAACAGGCTACAAAGCTAAGTTGAACAGAATTGTGGGCAACAGAACATCCCTACTCAATGAGCTCAATGTATTCTATAATAAAAACTGAAAGAACTGCGGATGCTGTGAATCGGGAACAGAAACAAAGTTGCTGGAAGAGCTCAGCAGTTCTGCGGAAGGGTCACCGGACCCGAAACGTTAACTTTGTATTTTCTTTCACAGATGCTGCCAGACCTGCTGAGCTTTTCCAGCAACTTTGTTTCTGTTCAATGTATTCTATGCTTGCTCTGAACAGAAGGTCAGTGAAACAATGTCACCTATCCCACCAGCCTCTGGTGCACCAGTACCCACTGTCACCACCACAGATGTTAGATTGATCTTCTTGGAACCCACGGCAAGTGACTGGCCCAGATGTAGTCCCCAGCCATGCACTCAGATCTTGTGTGGACCAGCTGGCAGGAGTATTCACAGATATCTTTAACCTCTACTTACTACGATCTGAAGTCTCCACATGCTTCAACACGGTCCTGGTGTCAAATTAAAGTCATGCAGTGTGCCTTGATGACTACTGCCAGGTGGCCCTGACCCCCATAATTATGAAGTACTTCCAGAGGTTAGCCATAGCTCACATTGACTCCAGCCTACCTAATTGCCTTGATCCTTTGCAATTTGCCAATCAGCGCAACAAGTCCACAGCAGACACCATGTTCCTGGCTCTACACGCATCCCTGGAACATCTGGATAACAAGGATACCTAAGTCAGGCTCCTAGTTTAGTTCTGCCTTCACCATAATTCCAAGCAAACTCATCTCTAAACTCCAAGACCTAGGTCTCGGCTCTCCTCTCTGTAACTGGATCCTGGACTTCCTGACCCATATCTTACAATCGGTAAGAATGAGTGGCAACACCTCCTTCACAACAAATCGGTGCACCGCAAGGCTGCATGCTCAGCTCCCTGGTATACTCCTTATACACGCTCGACTGTGTGGCCAAATTCCGCCCCAACTCCTGCGTACAAGTTTCCCGACAACACCACCATTGTAAGGCAGATCTCAAACAACAAGACAGAATGCAGGAAAGAGAGAGAGTACTTAGCAGCACGTTGTAAAGACAACAATCTCTCCATCAACGTCAGCAAAATGAACAAACTGGTCATTGACTTCATGCCTCTGTCAATATCAATGGTGCTGAGTTGAAGGTAGTTGGCAGCATCAAGTTCCTGTGAGTAATAATCACCAATCTGTCCTGGTCCAGCCAGTTCGATTCAATGGTCAAGAAAGCACAACAACATCTATACTTCCTTTGGAATCCTAGAATCCCTAGAGTGTAGAAACAGGCCATTTAGCCCATTGAGTCCACACTGCCCGTCTGAACAGCATTCCACCCAGACCCATCCCCTTATTCTTTCTCTGCAACCCTGCATTTCCTGTGGCTAATCCACCTAACATGTACATTTACATGTACACTATGGGCAATTTAGCATGGCCAGTCCACCTAACCCCCACATCTTTGGACTGTGGAAGGAAACCAGAACACTCTGAGGCAACCCACGCAGATACAGGGAGAATTTGCAAATTCCACACAGTCACTTGAGGTTGGAATCAAACCGTGAGTGCCTGGTGCTGTGAACCACTGTGCCGCGTGTATTGATCTGATCTCTTCCTCATCTTGTACTTGACCATGATAGCAATGATAATTTTGATTGTAGCACAGGCCTGGTGGCGATCAATCCCTGTCTCCTAATTGAGAGGATCTTCTGTTGTCTTGGGCACTGCTATTCTGCTAAGTGTAATGAATAATGAACAGATCTCTTCACTCATAACTGAGCATCCACGATGTGTTGTGGACCATTAGGTGCAATAATTGTCTATCCCACCAAACTCTGACGAAAGGAGGCTAAGGAAATTCAGCATGGCCACAAGGGGGAAAAAACAATTTTTATAGATGCACCATAGAAAGCATTCTATCTGGTTGCATCACAGCATGGTTTGGCAACTGCACTGCCCAGGACCATAAGAAAATACAAAGTCATGGACACAGCTCGGTCCCTCACGTAAACCAGCCTTCCATCGACGCTGTCTATACATCCCACTGCCTTGGAAAAGCTACCAACATAATCCACGATGCCTCCCACCCCAGTTATACACTCTTCCACCCTCTTCCATCAGGCAGAAGATATAAAAGTTTCTAAATGCATACAAATAGATTCAAGAACAGCCTCATCCCCACTGTTATCAGACTTCTGAAATGACCTCTCAAATTTTAAATTTAATGTTGATATCGTTCTTTGTGCATCTCCTCTGCAGCTGTAACATTGTATTCTTCACTCTGTTCTATTATCCTAATGCTCCTTGTATGGTATGATCTGCCTGTACTGCATGCAAACAAAACTTTTCACTGTACCCTGGTACATGTGACAATGAAAAAGCAAATCAAAGCAAATTACCACTACACCTCTGTCCTCCTCTGTGCCTCAAGGACAGTTAGGGATGGGCATCAATAGCATTACCAGTGATGTCACATTTCAAGAGATTTTTTTTAAGAACTGGATCGTTTACTAGGCTATTTCAGAGCACAGTTAAGAGTTACCTACATTGCTGTTCACCATTGTCTGACTTCCTCTAAAGGAGAGCAACACCAGCTTCAATCTATATTTTTAGCTGAAGAGTTTCATCCTTCAAATGTTTCTTGTAAATCTTTTCGGCACCTTCTGTAGTCATCATTAGACAAAATACCTCTATTGAGGGCAAAATGGTGTTTTACAAAGGTTCACCAGAATTTTGTAGTGAGAACTGCAGTTAATGCTTCAAATACAGTGACCGTTTGTCTGATGAGGGGTCACTGGGCTCAAGATTAACTCTGCTTAACAGATACTGCCAAACCTCCTGAGTTTCTCCAGTGCTTTGTGTTTCAGATTTCCAGCATCTGTAGTTTTTTAAATTCATAATAATTTCATGCTTTTCTACTCCTTGCCATAATTTTACAAAGCCCAGAACCCATAATGCCTTTTCCACTCTTATCTTTCCACCAACCTTAACCTTCAACTTATGTAGATATACCCACCACCAGACCGGTGTTATAGAAACCCCTATTATTGCCCTCTGAAGAATTACCCTTTTTTTTTAAGTTTATGTTGCCTCTTTATTCTTCTTACCAGTGTACTGGGCACTTCTTGGTATTAAATTTATCAGCCATATGTCTCCTTATTCTACCAATGTGCCTTTATCGTCTTGAAGTCTTTCACTATCCTCCTCGCAATTCACTGTACTTCCAAGTTTTGTGCCAACTTGAAATCTTATATTTATAGTCAAGGTTTAAAATTTATGTATGAACAAACATGGAGCACGGGTAGGCCGTTTGGCCCCTTGGGCTTACTCTGCTGTTCAATGAGATCATGTTTGATCTGGTTGTGGCCTCAACTCCACCTATGTCTGATACTCTTTGAGTCCCCTGTTAGTCAAGAGTCTATCTACATCCATCTTTAAAATATTCAATGGCTCTACTGAAAATACTGTCTGGGGAAGGATTCCAAAGCACTCAGTTCTCTGAGTGAAAAATAACACACCGTGGCTCCAGCTTCAAAATGAAAGCCCCTTATTTTTAAACTGTGTACCCTAGTACATTTTTCTGTACGAAGACAACTTTTTGCAGAGTGCTTATTTCTGTATTTAAACTCTTCAAGTATGTGGTGTCAATACAAGTCTTGGTAAATGAATCTCACTGCTGCATTTTGTGCAGTAAAATTAACATCAAGATCAAGATGAACTGATCAAAGCTTGGCACTTCCATTTTAGCCTATTTATATTTGTTTTCCTATTTTTGAATGTAATTGGTATGTATCAAGTGTCTTTCAATTATCTCTGATATCCAGCATGATTGACCAGGTCATGAATCATTTGACAATATTATTTGCAGAAGCAACATTCCACCACATTATTATAATCTTTTGATGATGTCAATGGACATTCATTTTAACTGTCAGTGGTATTAATAAGGGATATTGTTCCACTAGGGCCAAGTGCTTTGAGTATGAAGCACTTGTGTGTGCCATGTGGTGAATTCTTCTCACTTGGCTAAGCAAAATGTGGGGTGGTGCACAGTAAACTGTATTGTTCAAAATAGTTGCTAAATCAGTGTTTTTACTGAGACTTCGATGCACTATATCATTCACACATCATTACTCAAAGCTGCCACCCCCAAATAGGATTGTAGTAAAGATTAATAGCCGGTATATAATGAATTTGTATTAAATCCACTTGAATGGTGGAAAATCCACAACAACACAACCTTTCATTTGCTCTTACCAACTTGACTTGTGAGCTGCACAGCACCTGGGAAGTTGCTGGCTTGTCACTGAAAATAGTGGAGCAATCTGTGATATTAATTTTAAACAGTAATGCAGCATTTAAACTGAGCTGTTTTG